GTAAATGAAACCTTTGACGAGTTCCATCCTTTTCCCTCGCATCATGATGTTATGTACTCTAGTTCTGAGGATTTTTGTTGTCTTTATGTTAAGGCTGTGCTGAAGGCTGACGTTTTTGATCTTCATCAATAAGTGCTTTAAATTCTCTTCATTTTAGGAAGCAAGGTAATGCTATCTGCTTATCTCAGATTGTGAAGGAGTCTCCCTCTGATCCTGATGTTGCCTGTATATAGTTCAGCTGCCAGATTACCTGCTCAGCATGCAATGGAAAAAGCACAGTGAAAAGATACAACCCATCTGATGTACACCTTTCCTGTTTTTAAACCACACTTCTTGGTCTATGTACAGATTCTGTATTAGCATTTAAATTATATGGAATCCCCCTGCTTCACACTGGAATTCTCATTCTTTGTAATATTACCCATAATTTGTTATGATACACACAATCAAATACTCTTTTTAAAAAAAAACGAATAAATAATTTTATTGGGGGCTCTTAAAGCTCTTATAATAATCCCTACATCAATTGTATCAATTGTACATGTTGCCATCATCATTTCCAAAACGTTTTCTTTCTACTTGAGCCCTTGCTATCAGCTCCTCTTTTCCCCCCTCCCTCCCCCATCCTTCCACCCTCATAGACCCCTGATAAATTATAATTACTATTATTTTCATATACAGTCAAATCCCTTATACAGTTATGCAAACACAAATAAGCATCTTTCTGGTACTCATATATTTTGATACTGCATACATACATAAATTCCCACACAAATGTGTTTTGGTTATATTTGCTGTTGTTTTAAAATTATGTGTGTCATAGACATTACCAACAAGCTCTTTTTTCTTGTATATGTTTTAGTGCTATTGTTTACCCTCATTAAGTTGTGTACATGTAAACAAAAATATTCTCATTCCCCCCTCAGTTTCACTTCCAAATCTGAGGGTGCATTTGGAGCACCCCCTGATGTTCTCAGTCACTGTCATTCTTTCGTGGCCACTCTGTACTGGGTGGGTGAGTGGTGAAAAGTCTAAATTCTCCTTTCTGTTTTTGCAATCACAAGGCTTGTTCTTCCCCAGTTCCCAGAATTAGGCCTGCGTTTTAGCGTTTCATAGGGTCTTTCAAGAATTATTCCAATGAGATAATTTCCCTTGGAAAACTTTGTCCATAATAGTCTTCATTGTTTAAATGGTTTCCTGAAACACAGCCAAGTTGGAGATGTTATCTTCATCATTGATGAATATTTATTAAACATCTCTGGATGCCCCATTAAGAGAATGTTTGCTCTCTCAAACTGTGACTGCTCCCTACTTGTTACAAAATTAGCCTGGGACTCAGACCAGTACCAGCGAGCATTTATAGCCGTGTATCACCTCCTTGCCAGAAATTACTCCATTGAATGTTCACCGAGGACTTTATGGGGATCCCTGGTGGCGTAGTGATTATTTGTTGGGCTGCTAACCACAAGATCAGCAGTTCAAAACCACCCACTGCTCTGTGGGAGAAAGATAGGTTCTCTATTCCCATAAAGCAGCGGTTCTAAACCTGTGGATCAGGACCCCTTTGGGGGTTGAATGACCCTTTCACAGGGTCACCTGATTCATAACAGTAGCAAAATGACAGTGATGAAGTAGCAATGAAAATAATTTTATGGTTGGGGGGTGGTGGTCACCACAACATGAGGAACTCTATGAAAGGGTCGTGGCATTAGGAAGGTGGAGAACCACTGCCATCAAGAGTTACACTCTCAGAAATCCACAGGGTCCTTTCTTCCCTGTCACATAGGTCATGATGAGTTAGAATCGACTTGATAGTTGTGTGTATAAAGGACCTTATGAATCAGGTCTATTATTTCTCACATATATGGGGAAAAGAATAATTATATATATATATATATATACACACACACACACACATATACATATGTGTGTGTGTGTATGTGGAAACTGAGGCCCCTGCAGTTTAGTGAACTGGTTTGAAGCAGTATCTTGTTGGTGGTGGTTGCTGGGAAGTCAGCTGCGACGCATGCCAGCTCCCGGTGTAACAGAAGCAAACATTTCCTGGTCCTGTGCCATGTTCACGGTTGTGGTATGTCTGAGTCTGTTGTGGTGGCTCTTGTGTCAGCGCATCTCAACGCGTTTCCCTGGCCCTCGGCTTTGCCAAACACGATGGCTTTTACTGGTGATTGGGCTTTCCTGGTGACGCAACTGAAGTGAGGGAGCCCGGTGTTCGTTACCAACACCACAATGTGAATGCAACTACACTTAGTAAGCCAAAAATAAAAACCAACCAAAACACCAAAACCCCAACCAAACCCAAGATTCAAATCTAGATCTGATGGTAGAAAGTGGTTCTTAACCTGGGCTGCGCTTTAGCATCACTTAGGAACTCCCTAAGAGTACTTGGGTTAAAAAATCGGGGTATATGTGCAAATATGCTTGATACAATCGATGGTTATAAGAGTTGTAAGAGCTTCCAGTAAAATGATCTTTTAATTAAAAAAACCAGAATGAACAAAACATCGTGGTGCCTGCTTCCCACCTTCAAAGAGTCTTGTGCACCGGCTCTGGGTTGAGCCTGGGCGTTCGTACTTCCAGTGGACTTTAAGGAACTGTCAGGGTCGAGTGATGAGAGCTTTGTTGTTCAATACAGTAGGCATCGCCACAAGGAACGAAGTTGTAATCTAACGTAAGCGAAATAAAAAAATCTGTCCCTCAGTCATCGCAGCTGCGTGTCAGGTGCTCAGGAGCTGCGTGTGGCCAGAGGAGGCCTCACGGGACACTTGTGGGCGCTCTTTTGCTGTTTACCTTCGCGTTTCCAAGTGTGCGTGGGCTGGCTTCTCTCTGATTTGTTTGAGACAGGGGTTGACGTTTAAATTTTGCATTATTATTTGTATTAGTTAAACATGTAAATCCAGTGATTCATCCAGTTGCTGAGTCAGCCCCAAACCCTCTGTTCCCCACTCAGCACCCCATCAGCTCTGTCGACTGAGCATCCCCATGGCGGTTCTGTTGTTTCAGGGTTGGCTTCCTCTCTGGTTCTGCACGATGCTCTAGGCTGGTACTGGGCATTTCCTCCCTTAGCTCTGTCCTCCACCCTTTCCCCAAGGAACCCTGGGAAATGGGATTGGAACCCAAGATGTGGGCGATAGCTGTGCTCCCTATGATTAGATTGTCATTAGTTTTATGCCTGAACGAAATATATGTATCTATGTTAATCTCTGCAATATGAGGGGACTTCATAAAATGTGTGGAAAACTGGAATTGAAAGAAAATGGAATTTTTCATGAACTTTTAGAAGCCCCCTTGTATTCACTTATCTTTCAATATTTCTATATGTCACCATTATAACTAGATAAGGCTAAACCTGACTACTTACTGAGGTCTCCAATTTGTTTATTGTCAGTTGATCGTTGTAGTAATCTCCCTTTGCCCATCACCTTAAACATTTTTATTATTAGTCTTACCTGATTTGTACATTTTATGAGTTCATTGGCTGAGGTTGGATCACTCTTACAGTCCTGGGGAAATCTTACGAAGATGTAGGATCAGATAAACCAGTAGCTTTTAGTGATGATATGTTCACTGAAAAGCAGTCCAAGTGATATACAGGATTTTTGCAACACTTAGAAAGACTATTTTTATTATGATCTAGTAATGGCATTACTTTTATTTTCAGTGTCTTTCCTGTAAACTTTAAAAAAGGTATTATGAGGAGTTTGATAACTTGCGTAAATTGATGACCCCCCCACTTACTTAATAATAAAAAATTATTTTAAAAAGTAAATACCAAAAAGTTATTAATTTGTAACCATAACAGTAACTTTGCACCTAATAGGATGTTTAAAATTTCATCGGGTAAGATAATTCTTTTTTTAAAAATAATTCTTTTTTGTTGTGTTATATTTTTAAGATATGTTTTAAGAGAATGTATCTTTAGCAGCAGTTAAAGTTTTAAATGTCATTAAAATTCTCACAAATGATAAATATGATAGCATGCTTATAAATACTCTCCTAGACTTCTTAATAAACGCTCTTGGATAGACTTCTTAGGGAAAATGGTTGTTGTTGGAACCTTGCTTCTCGGATGGAGCAGTGGAATTAAAGACGAGAACCCGCAGGGCACTGAAACACAGTGGTCATTGGCTTCGTACAGCCCCAAACCCAACCCAACCCATTTGCCATCGAGCCATTTCGTACGACTCGCTGTTCATTCTGGCATAGACACCTGGTTTCCCGACATGGACATCTGTCAGGGGTCTTTCTCCCTTGGTTCATCTATTTCAGTGCATCACAGCAAGGTTCGGACTGGAGGGAAAGCATGGGATCACACACTGTGTTCTCACCGTGGCACCGTTGCCTAGAAATCATGAGCGGGGTTGCACTCTGCAGCAGGTCCGAAGGCTGGTGTGTGTGTGTGTGTGTTTGGGGGGCGGTAATTAAGATGGCCAAGGCTCATTCGGAAAGGCCACCCGATGCAGGGAGCTGTCCTTTGTCCTTTGACCAAAGTTCTCAGTCACCTAAAGATGGACTGAGGGTGGAGATCGGCTCACATTGTCACTCAAGACAGATCATAGTTAATCTTTAAGTACAGATCAGCAAGAAGACTGGAAACTTCCTGTGGAAACCAAGAACACAGATGGATCGTCCAGGGCGCGTAACCACTGGCAATGGCCAGATGACGACATAAGAGGGCGTGGAGGTGCTTCTATGTTCAGACCATCTCCTGAAACTTGAGAGGCTTCTCTGGACTTCATTTCCTCCCCATCGGTCAACAATCGACCATTAGTCCCTTACACAGAGTGTGTGATGAGTAATCGTTGAATTGCAATTTCTTAGCAACTTGTGAATATACCATGTCTAAAGTTTGAGGAGTAATATATGAGGTAAGATCAGGGAGGACTTGTCAAGAAATAGAAGTAAGGTTCAGTGCCTAAGGAAATTATTTTGCTATTATATGGGTTCATTTAAACTGTGCTACATTATCTTCTTACTTCTAGGAATCCTGTGTGTATGCTATAGCCCGGAGTTTGATCCTCGGAAACAAATCACATACTCAGTGTTTTATTTCCATAAAGGTACTTGCATTTATTTTTACTTCTTGCTTACTTTGACATAATCACTTTTTCAAATTAGTAGCAAGTTAAGCAGATAGACTTTAAAATACTTAGGGCGCTGTGATCAATTTCATCTGCCCTTTCCATTATGTCCACTGATACTGATAAGAACAGATGGTTTAACAGCACAGGTTTGCTAAAGAAAGTCAGTAATGGTGAGCATTAAATGATAGAGTACTGTACGTACTTAAAACCATTTCTGGTCTGTTTTTACTAGGCCTGTGAATGTATTTGCACAATGTATTTGCTTCTTTATTGTTATGAATTGATGCATCTCTATAGGTTTCATTCACAAAGTTACAATAGTCTCCATGATCTCAGCATATGTTTCCTTCATTCCACGCATCCGAGGCCCAGGAAACTGATATGTTCACAGCCTTGCTGGGGAGCAGGAGTAAAATATCCATTTCTTTCCCGTTCTGTCATTGGCCACAGCCTGACCTTGTGTCATGTCAGTCCAAATCAGTGCACAAGACTGTTTTATTTAGTTCCTTAAAACTAATATTTGTGTGATATGTATTATAGATGGTGTTAAAAATCCTAAAAGATATATTTTGGTCACTACATTTACTCCTCACTTCCTTATCAACTATCTCCTTTTATCTGACATTTTGCATTTACAACATTAGTAAAAAAATCTACTCAAGTCTTTTGCATTATTAATGAAGTATGCCAGGAAGGAATGAACACTGAGGTGGGAGATCAAGGAAATAATAGCTGTGATGATCAAGGCTATTTGACAAGCTGGCTAGGCCATGATTTTTAGTAGGTTGACATGTATGTAAGGATGGAATTCATGATGGAGCTGGGCTTCAGATCAATTAATTCTGATTTGACCTCCTGATGAGAACGTGCTTTTCCAGCCCAGATATATTGAATCAAAATCTACTTTTGAACACAAATTGATGAGAATCACCCGGGGATTTTGTTAAATGTAGCTCCAGATACAGAAAATTCTCAGTAAAAGATTGGACCAGAGTGGACTGGTTGGGAGCCCTAGATGTCACCTGCCACTTACATACGAGGTAGTCATCCTCTCTTGCGTGCCCATCCTCCACTCCTGTATCATGACATTTTTCGTGTAATGACTTGGTCTCTGGAACCTAACCATATCAATAGTGAGGAGTGGGCGTAGTTAAAAAACAGTGTGCCAGCTGACACCAGAGTTTATTGTTCTACAAAAGCGTCTAATATTATCTTCAGAGGTTAGAGGGCTAGTTAAAAAAGTTTAAAGACTTTCTCAATAATAGAGAAACCAAAAGTGATTTCAATACTACATACACACAAACAGTATATATATGGTATATGTAGGGTATCCATATAGTATACACATACATACCATACCCTTCAATAGTTTGAGGTTTTATGGAAAGTTTTCACAAATTTTCTAATCATAAATCTGATGATTGAAACCAACACACACACATTTTTTAAGATGAAAAAGTGGAATGTGGAGCCCAATAGACTGAGCTTACTAGACTGTGTTATACTGAAGTTATTTCTTTAACTAGATGGGGGCTTGGTGAATGACCAGGAGAAGTGTCAGAGGGTCATAATGACAAGTGTGTGACAGCCTCGAGACCTGAGGGCTGATGGGCCAGCCAGCCCCCATCTCTTGGATCCCTGGACATTTCTTTGGATCCGGCCTTCCCTGTACAACCCACATCTTAAGATGATAAATTTGCTTGGCGCTTCGACCGTGTTGTGACCACACCATGTTTTGGAGTGTGGTGGGGAATCTGGAACTTTGAGGTCGCTGGCGCGGTCAGTGTCACAAGGAAGTACCAAGAATGTGATAGAGCCCTTGCCTGTTGTAGAGGGCCGTGACGCGTTCGTTTCTTCACGTCCTTCCCTGGCATCCTGTGCTCTTTCCCGCAGGCTACCGCAAAACCTTCACCCCTGCTCTTGGGAGCGTCGACTCTCACGTGGCAAAGGGCCTGACTTTTCTCAACCTCGGTAGGTGATCCAGAGCCCCTCCTCTGATTGTGCGGGCTTTTACTTCCATTCCAGGCTTACACACACACACACACACACACACACACACACACACACACACACACACACACACACGATCCAGAGCCCCTCCTCTGATTGTGCGGCCTTTTACTTCCATTCCAGGCGTGTACACACACACATACACACACACACACACACACACACACACACACACACACACACCTATACCTCTGCCAATGGTGCCCCTCAAGTTTCTTCTTTGTGGCCCTCCTGCTCCTGCCTCTTTGGAGCTGGATGGTGATGCTAATCAGGAACCTTTCTGATGCTCGGTGGGAGGTGGTGGGCCCTGGGAAGAAGCCCTCACCTTTTCCTGAGGGATCCATCGACCTCGTGTGGAGAACCCCAGGAGCTTAGGGACACCAAAGGATGTCAGGTTCCTATTGTAGTCTGAAACAGCACAGGTCGCTTTCTTGTGTTGTGGCTTGACTCGCTCCCTCTCACTTGAGCCCCCCGCCCCCCACCCCACCTCATAGGTTTCTGAACCAGTAACTGTTTATGGGAGTAGACAGCCAGTTTTTCTCCTGCAGACCTGCTGGTGGTTTTGAACTGCCGACAATGAGGATCCCAGCCCAACGTGTAACCAACTACACCGCCAGGGCTCCTGTATGTTTTGGGGTTTTTTTGTAGTCCTAAAAAGCCATGTGAGTGTAAAAATGAGGCCAAGGCTAAGATGTTCCTTAGCAGTGTGTGAGAAGTAATAATACCCTGTCCCTTGATTTGAGAGCAGACAGGGGCCTCAGGGAAATTATCGATTCCTTCTTAATTGTGAACTGCTTCCAAATCCCACAAACGATAAATGGATCAAGTTGAGCGAGAGGCTTTTTGTGGAATAATTATGGGCCCGGGAACCTGAGAATACCAAGGGCGTCTGCAAGGAAGAAAATGGAGCTGAGATCGGTTATACCTTCCTACTGAAAGTCTCTTTCCACGTTGATTGTGTGTGGGAGACAGAAGCAATTTGTACTAAATCAGCGAAAAGGCTGAGAAGCAACTGGGGCTGAAACGATTTGGCCTGTGGCTGAATCACCGGACAAGTCCTGGGTACGTGTGCAGTGGGACACAGTCGCTCGAGAAGGGAAGCTTCCGTTTGAGAGCACTGGATTCTTGGACAGCTCCCGCCATCCTGGCTCTTAGCCCAGAGAACACGACAAAGATTTCAGAAGGAACAATGGCCTCATTTTGCACCAGGCAACATGAGAACCAAATATGATAGGAAAGTCCATAGAAAGATTATTTTCAAGGATGATGTTGATCAGGGGAAGAGTCCTGGTGGTGCATGGGCTAAAAGCTAAGCCGCTCACTGAAAGGTCTGTGCTTTGAGCCTCCCAGCGGCTCTGCCACAGCACCAGACGGGCATCTACTTCGGTCAGGATTGAAGCCTGGGACACGCTATGGGCAGTGCAGTCCTCTGGGGCTGCTATGACCGGAAGTGACTCCATGGTGATGAATGGGTAGGTGGATGGGGTTAGACATTTTGTATTAAGTGGGTCAGTCTTTGGCAAAATTTAACCTGATCTCTGAACCTGTGGGGATTTGCCGTAGAGAGGCCTGGTTCCATGGCTTCCTGGGATGAGAGAGCGAGAAATCTAAGGCTAACAATGCTATGTTAGCGTTCCAGCACAAAGCTGATATGGGAAGATTTCCACTAAAAAACTTAGCATTTAATGAGGGCAAAACTATCCTTCCTTTTTTTAATACCATGGGAATGTACTTGAACACAACACACTTCTTTGTATGTGTGTGTGTGAATCAGGTGATGGTACACAAAGCAATTCAGTTTTCCATTTAACAATCCATACACATTTGGTTGTATGTAACCGATTGGCATGCACTCTTCTTGTAAGGGAGCAACATGATTTAACCTGTGGAGAATTTATGCAAACAGGTCAGCTTACATGAGTGGCCTCTCCAGCTTAAACACATTATATTTTATAGGAAAAAAAATTGTGCCCAAGATGAAAACTGTTCTGGCGGTAATTTTTATGACAACAGTATGACTTTGGGGATGATGTGTTTCTTACTATGAATTATATGCAGTTTCTCTAAACTGTCACCCTGGTAAATAGAGATTGCTTATATTGAAAATATGAAAGAAGAGAGTTTGGGGAATTTTCACGATCCCAGAACAAACGCCCTGAAAGATATGTTTATAAATAATAAGATACTACCTGTCTAATGAATGCTAAATAACATATAAAAGCCCTGGTGGTATAATGGGCCACAAATTGAACTGATAACCAAAGGGTCTCTGGTTTGAACCCACCAGTTCCACTTTGGGAGAAAGATGAGGCTGGCTGCTCATGTAAAGTTTGAAAGCCTCAAACAAAAGGGGCAGTTCTACCCTGACCCTCAGCATGAATCACAATTGACTTGACAGCAGTGACTTTTAAAAAAATTATTTCATGTCATATATGTAATGAAGCTGAGGCTCAAACATTGGGATTGAACCAATTACAGAAAATGGTGGGGGGGGGGGCATGTTTGACCTCCTGTAACTTCACAAGGGCGAAACCATCAAACCAAATCACTGCCATCAAGACCCTGTTGGACAGAGTAGTACTGCCCCTGTGGGTTTCCAAGACTGTAAATCTTTACAGGAACAGAAAGCCTCTTCTTTCTCCTGCAAAGTGGTTGGTGGTCTCAAACTGCTGACCTTGTGGCTAGCGCCTGACTCGAACCCACGATGCCACCCGGAGAATCCATCCCCCACACCAGCATCACCCAAGGCCAGTATCTGTAAGGCTGAGGGCCAGACGTGCTTCTGCCCTCCAGCCACCCTTCCCAAGGCCCTCTGTAGCTGTATGGCCACACAGAACTCAGACAATACTCACACGTATGGGATTTATTAGGGACGTTAACAAGCTACAGATGCTCAGGGGACAATTAATTGGACAGGACAGCCTTTTCTCAACCTTGCCCGCAGGCAGGCTCTTGTCTTTGGGTTGGCTCTCTGCCACACGGACTTCTTGGTTTCTGCTCTCGGCTTCACTGGCCCCGTGGGCTGGGAAGTCCACCGTCTGTCTCCGCCGCTGGCTCTTGGGTCTCCTCTGCCACTCCTGTTGCTCCTCTGGTGTCACAGCTGTCTCCTGGGTCAATTCGCTGCACTGCAGCTTGTTTCAGTGTCTCTTAAAAGGGACGCTATTCGTTTCCTATTGCTTCTGTGAGACGTTGCTACATATTTCGGCTTTAAACAGCACAAACATATCCTCTTATAGTTCTGGAGTTAAGAAGTCTGAAATAGGTCTGAAGGGGCTAAAATCAAGATGTGGGCAAGACAGATTCCTTCCAGAGGCTTCAGAGGAGAATTCTTTCCTTGCCTCCTCCAGAACCTAGGGGCCAGCATCCCTTCGCTTGTGGCCACATTGCTAATCTCTGCCGTCAGCACACGACCTTCTCCTTTTCTGTCATCAAACCTCTGGCTCGTCCTTATAAAAACATCTGTGGTTTTTGGGTCTACCAGGATATCGAGGACCGTCTCTCCATTTGAAGCTCCTTTATCCAGTCACTCCTGTATCGGTTCTTTTTACCATGTAAATGAATATAGTTTCAGGTTTCAGGTATGAAGATGTAGACATTGGGGGTGGGGTGTTGCTCTGGCAGCATGGTGGTTAAAGCACTTCTCTGTTAACTGAAAGTATGGTGGAGTCCCCCCAACAGAATGCCAGTAGAGCCTCCTGTCCCTCCCCCCACCCCCAAATGACAATGCTTATGATAACCCCAAACACCCTCAATTATGGCCAAATTGGCCCTCTCCAGGGACACAGCATTACCCTAGTTAACTCATTTAGTGGCAGGACTAAGTATTAACCTAAGTCTTTTGATTCTGAAACCCTTTCTACTGTGCTATACTCTATCACTTCGCTTCTGTTTTCCACGTACGTATTGACATGCTGATAAGATTGCTGCTAAGCACTGTACTGTCACTCGGTCCTCAGAGACTGGCACTGCCACTCATGGGGGAGATGGAGTTTGACATCCGCCTTTGTTTCCTGCAAACATTTAACTTGCTTGTGTTTCTTTGCGTTTAAAAAAAGCTGGGGCTCCCTTATTATAACCTGAATGTTTCATTTATACAAAATCCAATACTGTGGTGTGTATTTTTGTGTTTTTCTAAGGTCCTAGAAGAATTATTGGCAAGGGCTGTTGCTACTCTCCCATTCCCCAGGGACTTGTTTTTCACATCTTGTCCCAATCTGGGCACGAATCCACTGTGGGTACAAAAATATCTAATGCAGGGACCGTGAAGGTGTGAAGTGTAGGCAGCTAGCTAGGCAAGCAAATAAATGAGCACTTCGCAGAGTGTCAGAATGCCTGCTGAGAATTCTTTTGATGAATATCAATTTAAAGGTTGTCTAAACAAAATGATGCGGATGATGATTGAACTAACAGGGGGAACTAATTCTCAGACCTCTGTCAGACAGGCAGAAACTGTGGAGAAAATTCCCAATATAAGCTATCTCAGCCTACCAAATGAAGGAGCGATTCAGATTTGATGATTTTTAAATTCTAGTTTGTGCTCAGAGATGCTTTTGATTCAAACAGACCCACTGTTCCCTTAGTGACAAAATTACAGGTGTAAATTCAGAAAGCCATAGTTAAATAAATGTCTGGAGAAAAAAATTTAGCAACAGATAGAAAGAAAAGAGATCAGGCGAGGAAGAAGGTAAACAAAACCAGAAGGCTGAGTTGGTTTAGGAAGTGGGACACGAGGATGGCAGGCAGCTCATATGATTCCACTAGTAAATGGTTTGTTTGGACGAGTGCAAAGAAGGCCCAGAACATGCGGAAGTCTTGGGCTTTTACCTGGACTTGTGGGCCCTTCCCACGCAGAGACTGACAGCTCTCTCTTCTACAGACTACTATGTGGCTGTTTGCTTACCTGGACATTTCTTTCACCTACTCGACATCCAACATCCAGACTTGATCTGTCACAGTCTGTTTATGACAGGTATGACTGCTGTGCTGCCCTGCTCCCCCCAGATAGGACATACACATATTTGGGCTTGTTTTGACTGTAGTATTTATATTTGGGTTGGATGGATTTCCCACCCCCTTTCATTTGATGATCTCTTTCTGGCCAGGAAAAAATGCAACGATTGATCTGCTACCTCCTAGTCCTTTGCAGTCCCTGCCAGGGGCCCTGGTCCTGGATGGGAGTTCGGGAACGCTCTCAAGAGCACTGCTGGACCTGCCACACCTGCTCCAGCTGCTGTGGGAGAGCCCCCTGGACTGCGAGAAGATGGCCCTGCTCCACTGCGCCCTCGCCTGTGGCCGGCACTCTCCGCTCCTGGAAACCCAGGTGGGAACACCAGGGGGACTTATTGGGAAATGGAATGAAAAGACAATGGAATTTTATCTTGATCTTTACTTTGAATGCTTTCAACCCCCCCCAGCCCCTGCCGCTTGTATTGCTTCAGTTTAAAAATTGGCAAATAGACAACATCAAGTGTGTTCATACAGTGCTTGCTAAAGAACAAGAACCCCCAACCCATGGCTGTCAAGTCAATTCTAAATCATAGTGACCCTGTGGGGCAGAGTAGAGCAGTTCCAAGGTTTATGGATTATGCATTGGATTGCCAGCCACAAAGTCAACAGTTCGAAACCCTCAGAAAGAAGACACTTCCCATAAGCAATTGCAGTCTTGTAAACCACAGAGACCGTTCTACCCAGTCTTTTAGCTTCCCCGTGAACCAGGACTGACTCGATGACAGTGGATGTGCGTGTGTGTGCGTGTATGTATAACCTTTATGAAAGCAGCCTGCCACCTTTTCCTGCTGTAGAGTGGCCAGTGGCTTGAACTGCTGACCTTTTGGTTACCAAGCCTGTGTTGAACGGCTGTGCCACCAGTGCTCCTTGAAAAAGAATAGAAATTATTTTTATTTGGCAACAAATGAGGTTTACAATCTTTGCCCCGATCCAGACATGCTCTTTTCCTATGTTGTGTGAATCCTTATTAGACATGGCACTGTGGGTTTGGTGTCAAACTGCTAGCCGAGGGTTGGCAGTTCGGACTCACCCACTGCTCCTCGGGCGAAGGACGAGACCAGCTGCTCCGGTAGAGAGAGATGGAGCCCGTAGAAGCAGCTCTGCTCTGTCCCAGAGGGCTCCTAGAGTTGTAATTGACTCGATCGCCGTGTGTGGTTATATTGTTGTTGTTGTGTTAGTTACTGGACATCAAGCTATGGGGCAGGCCTGTCCTTTTGAGTGCTCTTCTATCTGGTGAATAAATAGCCATGTTGTTAATATTCTAAAGAAGTGCTCACTCCGTGAATAATGAGTCTCTCCAATATTCCACCTTTTCCCCTGGCCTCCATTCCGTGTGCTCCATCAACAGGCCTCAAATACAATGGCAGACATTTATTACCTACATTAATAAAACAGCTTGTATCGTATTACACGTACTAGTTTACTAAGTACTTCTGATTATTCTGTTATTTATGTTTTACATTAAGAAACCCTCTTTACTGATCTGTCTGGGACCAAGTGGTGGTTAATGATTTTTTTTTAATGGCACCTTAAACATCTTATTTCGATCCTAATCGCCCAAGTGTACACTTATTCACACGACATTTTGATGGTGATCACGGCTCCTTGAGTGTGTGCTTCATCAACTGAGTTCAGAATTGTTTTTCTTGCACAAAACCACTGGCAATATGTTATCTTGGACCCTCTGTTACTTTCTTTGCTAATTCCTTTAAGGAGAACCATAATAGAACGATCCGAAGGATATAGGATCTTTCTAGACTCAGACTCCCACCCCAATCTTTTTTAGTTATCTCAACTAGACCTTATTTTTATTTGACTTTTTTTAGACATACCTCCATTGAGCCTTATGAAAGCATTCAGTGTAGCCTGTATTGACCTCAAAAGTCTTTTTGTAGCCCCATTTTTGTAGTAACATTTTACTCAACTGTGCAATTGTGGAAATAAATATAGCTACATAAATGCGGAGAACTTATGCTAGACATCAGAAAGGGCTTATAACATAGAAAGGGTTTCTGTGTTGGAATGGACGTGTGAGGGTTGGGGTCGAGATACCCAAGGAGGTGCCTCCCCCCACTAGTGGCCCAGCAGAACCGATGGAGAGAGTTGTGGATGTAGAAATGATCACTCCCCTGCAGCGAGTCCTGGCGCCACAAGGGTTAGGTGCTCAGCTGCTCACCAGAAGGTTCCAAGTGTGAGCCCACTAGCTGACTTGGGGAAGAAGGGACCTGTGATGGGCTGCTAGCAACCCCTCGGGGCAGTTCTACTCTGTCTTCCAGCATGGCTGTGGGTCGCGCTTGATGTGATGGCAAACGAGGACAACAAAGCCCACAATCCCTCCCTTGGAGGGTTGTACAGTGATGCTCACATAGGGCCAGTGACATGACAGTGGTCACATTAGTGACTGAGCTGCAGTGCAGACCCCTGGCCAGCCCCGTCCGAGTGCAGAGCTTTGGGTTTTGTGTGTCCTGTATCCTCCACCTCTCCCCGGTACATTGTCTAGCAAACAGATGTTGGCTAACAAAGAGCTGGGTCCAAGCCAGCGGCATTTATTTGTAGAAAGGTGTGGAAAGGACCTCATTGTCATACTGTTTTGCCAGTATCTTCCTGCAGTCGATCCCTTGACAATAAAGTGACTGTATGCATAGGTTCCAAAGCAGTTACAGAATTCCAGAGTCATAGATCTGTCCCTCCTTGAGGGTGGTGTGGAAGTCTAAATACCAACAGGGTTCTGTCTTCTTATTTTTTAAAGGTTATTCAGTGGATTTCTGAGAACATCTCCACCTGCCATTCCTTTGACCTCATTCAGGAAATTCTAGTTGGTAGGTGTTGCTGACAGTGCCTGTTAAGCCGCAGACGTGACCCTTTTGCTTCAGGGAAAGTCATCCATTGATAATCCCTCAAGCTGCCAAAATGCTGACAAGGATCATCTTTTAAAAAACAACACACACTTCGGTGGAGAGCAGCTAATTAAATTTCCTTCTCTCATGGATTTGCGAGAGGCTCTGACTCCTCAGAGACTGAAGAGATGCAAGACAGAATTCAGATTTTATAACTTGATTAGCTTTTTTCCCCCAGTGAGCTGTAACTTTCTTAGCCTGGTTTTTGGTTGGGTGCTTCTACTCGTATATGACGTCATGTACAGGTATCCTCTGCTTTACTACAAGCAGCTTCTTTTTAACAAAACGCCTACATTAGTGTTTTGGTTTTTTTTTTTCTAAACTGTAGGAAATCTAAAGAGGATGTTTGCTTTTACAAAAAAAAAAAAAAGGTGAAATACAAAACTAGAATTTTGCCGTAAGCCATTCAAGAGGCAGCGGGCCCCCTGAGCACCAAGCTCCTAAACTGTACCACTTCATATTGGCTGTATGTTTATCCCAGCATTCCTCTTTTTACTGTGTTACTATATTTATAAGGTTTTAAGTGTTATTTTGTGTGATTTAGTAGTTTGGTTTTTTTGTGGGGGGGGGGGCGGTAGTGTGTAGGAATGATCATTTCTTCCCCATACAAATCAAGGGTGGTTGCTGCTTTACTTTATAGTCGCTCAGCTTAGGGAGGGGTTCGGGGGGACACTCTAGTTTCAGGCAGCAGGGGACCCTGTAGTGTCATCCGGGCACATGAAAGTGCCAGGTCATCCATTGGGAAATTCTCCTCCGTGTAGACATGGCATGATGAAAGGCAGAACCCGAGCATCTTAGTCGACAAAATCATCACCATCATCTTTTTGAGGCCAAAGCAGAAGGCATTAGGAATGTTCGTTGGTTTGCTTGTTCAGTGACTTACAATGCTGGTCAGCCCCCTACCCCCACCCAATTTTATTTAATTGTCTTTATTTTTCGGAACCGAACATAAACGATCCTTTGTTCAACATTTTTGTAATTTGAGTATTTTTAGCATTTATGGAGTCTTTTAAACTTACCCTTTTTATTAAACCATGTCTCTCCCCCCCCCCCACCTTCTTTCAAAAATATACTCAGCTTCTTCGTATTGGAGTATACAGCCAGAGAGAAGTAACGCAGATGAACTGTTGCCACACTCCTCGGTGCTCTCTTGGAATACAGTAAGTCAACACTCGTACTGTCCATGCAGCTAATGGTTGAGTGTGCTAGCTGTGGGCCATTTGGAGCACATCCCTGTCTTAGGCCATACTTCCATTCCTGTGTTGACTTCATAAGGAAGTGAGTTGGAGTTTTCTGGCGAAACCCCTGCCTCTGGCCGTAGTACATATACATGTATAGAAGTTTCTTTTTGTCACCGTTGTGTGCTACCCGGCACACAGCGGTCCTATAGGACAGAGTAGGGTTTCCTAGTTCATAGTCTGTATCAGCACAGATTGCCAAGTCTCTTCTCCTTGGAGCTGGATTCCAGCCGCCAGCCTGATGAGCAGGCCAGCACTTAGTCATGGCGTCACTGGTGCTCGTCTATGGAGGCGTTTATCATTGCTGTTGTGTGCTGTTGAGTGGCTCTGATCCATCAGAACTCTGTGTATCACAGAAAAAAACCACTGCCCGGTCCCGTACCATTCTGTCATTGCTGGGTTTGAGCCTATTGTTTGACCTCTGTGTCCAGCCATCTCCTTGAGGGTCTTTTTTTATTGACCCTGCAGTTTACCAAGCAGCTAAGAAGTAGCTTCCCCTGATAGCATGGCCAGGGTAGGGGAGACGCGATCTTGCCCTCCTTGCCTCGAAGTCGCATTCTGGCTGTGCTTCTTCCAAGACAGATCTGTCTGTTGTTCTGGCAGTCCGTGGTGCATCTGCTATTGACTGCTAACACTGTGCCATCCAAATGTATCACTTCTTCTCTGGTCTGACTTGCTCACTTTCCAGCTTTTATACCCATCCGAGGTGATTGAAAATATCATGGCTTAGGTTAGGCACCACTTAGTGACATCTTTGCTTTTTTAAAAAACAAAACACTTTAAAGAGATATTTTGCACCAGATTTGCCCATTGCAATATGTGGCTTGATTTCTTGACTCCTGTTTCCAAGGGCATTAATTATTGATTATTGGTCAAGCTGCAAGTATTTGTATTTTCTTTACGTTAAGGTGGATGCTGCGTTGAAGGGTGTTGTCTTTGATCATCAGTAAGTGCTTCAGAGGCTCTTTGTTTTCAGTAAACCATGTTATGTCACCTGCATATTGCAGGTTGCTAATTCTGATGCTGCATTCCTCTTTATTCAGACCAGCTTCTTGGAATTAAATGCTTTTGCATCATCAGTAAAACACAAGGAAATATCTTTCTGGTAGTCTCTACTTTTAGCCAATATCTGTCTAACATCAGCAATGATATCCCTTTGCTTCATTGTCTTCAATAGCACATTGTCTTCTGAATCTGGCTTAAATTTCTGGAAGTTGCCTGTTGATGTACTTCTGTAACCATTTAAAAATTATCTTCAAAAAAATTTTACTTGCATGTGATATTAATAATTGTCTGATAATTTTTGCATTCTGTTGGATCACCTTTCTTTGGAATGGGCACAAACATAGATCTCTTTCAGTTGGTTGGCTGGCTAGGTCTTCCAAATTTCTTGGATAGATGAATGAGTGTTTCCAGGATTTTCCCAGAGCCTTTTTTTTGATATGCCATTGCCTTCAGTGCAGCTTGGACTTACTCCTTCAATATCACTGTTTCTTGATCACATGTTACCTCCTGGAATGGTTAAATATTGACCAACTCTTTTTGGTATCATGACTGTATGCATTCCTTCCATCTTCTTCTGATGCTACTTTCATTGTTCAATGTTTTGCCCATAGAATCTTTCAGTATTGCAACTCAAAGCTTGGTTTGTTTTTTTCTTCAGTGCGCTCAGCTTGAGAAGTGTAAAGTGTATTGAAAAAGTATCTAGAAATATGAAACAATAGACTCGAAGAAAAGCATACAGGGCATTTATTGTTCTTATTTCTATTAGGCATCTAAAGTTATATCACCTTCAAATTAGAGATGTATATGCACATATTTATATTTACATATACATGTATATTTGGTACAAGAATAGATTAAAATAGCAGGGTATTTTTTTCTTCAGGTTTTTCTAAATGATGAAAAATTGGACCACTGATATTACCCTGAGCTGTTCTGCTTACTTGTTTTGTTAGTCCAAGCTCATAGAGAAAATACGTAATGTTCTAGGGCTTCAAGATTAGTGAAGTTGACAATTTAGGCAAACCCACTCTCCACCCTTATTTTCTGTCAGTGTAGACGCCCTCCTTGATAATTAGAACGTGCTGAGTGCAAACATTATGCATCTTCTCTCGAACACGGTGAAGTCAGTCCGATTTTGTTGGACCTGACAGTGAAAGCCGCGTGTGTGGCTGCCTCCTCTCCCGTCCCAGTGGGTGTTGAAGTGCAAACTTAGTGTGAGGCCGAGGTTGGCGTTACTCAGTTTTACAATGGTTAAAAAAAATAAAATAATGACCATAATAGTAACCAATCAAGTGATATGATTGAAAACACACAATAAAAAACATGCCCTAGAACCATTAACTCAGGGAATCTACACATAGAAACAGATACACTCACAGGGGCCCGCATGCAACCGAAGGACACCCTACCTGGTCCTGGGCCATCTTCAGTTGGAGGTCAGTGTGGAGGTCATCCATCTCCTGGAGAGTCTTCCTCTTTGTCACTGACAAAGCACGATGGGCTTCTCTAGGGACTGGTTCCTCCTGGTCACATGCCCAAAATATGTGAGACGCAATCTGGCCAGCCTCGCTTTTAAGGCACGTTCTCACTGTACTTCTTCCAAGACAAATTCGTTCACTCTTCCAGCAGCCCCGGTGGTGTAGGGGGTTGTGCCATTGGGCTGCTAACCATAAGGCCCGCAGCTTGGACTCGCCCGCTACTCGGGTGGAGAAAGACGAGGCTTTCTGCTCATGTGAAGGCGGACAGCTTTGGAAATCCACAGCGGCAGTTCTGCCCTGCCCTAGCTTCACTCTGAGTCAGATCTGACTCGATGGCAGTGAGTTTGGTCCTAGCAGTCCGTGGTATATTTAAAATTATTTGCCAACACTATAATTCAAAGGTCTCCATTCTTCAGTTTTCTTATGGTCCAGCTTTCTTCACAGGCATCTGGGGGATTGAAAATACTTTGGCTTGGATCAGGCACACCTTAGTCTTCAAAGGGACACCTTTGCTTTTTAACGCTTCAACGAGATTTAGAGAGCTAGTCCTTAACTGTGTTTAAGGTATGATGAAGATTAACTTCCAGATGCTCAGTCTATATAATAGTAGTGCTTTCTAAAATGTTTTGTTGTTGTCTTTCACTTTTTTCATGACTAAACTTCCATGAATTAGAAGACAATGATAAGAGTTGAACTCGTTCTTCTGCAGGCCCATGCATGTATCTTTAAGAACAATTGTGACTGTACAGACAGACACTGTGGTAATGTGGCAGGAAGCGTGCAGGTGAAACCACCTGGAGCCAGGAAACGCATCTCTCAGCTGGCTTCCTCTCCCCCTCCGCAGGGCCGCTGTGCTGTGCTGTGCTGTGCTGTGCTGTGCTGTGCGCTACGTTTAGGAGGCAGGTCTGTGTCACTGGTTCCGAGGCTTGTGCTTGAAGAGGGAGGCACAGTGGCTTTCTGTCCAGGGAGAGGATCACCCTGACAGACCACGCTGCACTTGTGTGTTTCTCATGACTTTCAGGGGGCAGGGAGCGGCGTGGACCTGGAGCGACATCGGAAGTCCTCTGAGAAGCACAATGTAAACCCCCACAGCTGTAACCACTGGGGACTGTGCTTATTTTGGAGTTTACCACATCACCTTAAACTTCTTGTGGTTAGAGCAGGACACTTGAATGGCTCTTTCTGATTCTGAAATTCTACGATTCTGTGCTTATCTTTACTAATAATGCAAATCGTGCTTTTTCATTCTCTAATCCGGAGATGCTTTTAATGCCACATTTTTAATGAAATCCCATCCACAATAGAAACATCAATTTCATACCTCTTCCATATGGAGATGGATTATTTCTCTAAATCACTGAATTGGATTCTTTTAAGATAGCAGAAAGTACTGCGCTTAAAAGATAACCCTGAATTATGTTTTGTAAACAGCTAGCTTAGTTAGACTGACTTTAGTACACTTCACTCAAAGCTGCAGTGGTAATTCCATGCTCATTTTGAAGAGTCCCTCCTTGCTAAGGCGTGATAAGTGAGGCACACACTAGATTAGCACTAGTTTTAAATTAGTTTCCCATTCCACAACATCCACCCATTTTGTTCACAACATTAGTTGCAACCCACTCTTCCCACCCCCTCCTGGGGTTTCCCGTTCCCACTTGCACATCTCCGCTGCCTCTTCTGCCTTGAGAATTTTGGTTTGGGGCAAGTGCTGCCCGTCTGGTCCCTGGCTGTGGCTGACTGTTCTAAGAAGCACTCCTCATGGGGTGACTGCTCTCTTCATAGGACTGGCTGGCTGAGACGTGGTCTCTGGGAGGGGATTTAGTTCCAGGTTTGAAGAGTCTAAAGACCATGGTGTCAGGGGTTCTACCAGGCTCTGGCCGACTAAAAAGGTCTAGTTTTCTTTGTGGCTTTGCATTCTGTTTTACATGTTTTCTCCTGTCCTGCCCAGGACTTCTATTGTAACCCTGCTTAGCCTCACAGGTGCTGGGCACCCTTGAGTCTCAGGCTAGTGGGGCCTATGGATCAAGAGGTCCGTTATCATTTTTTGGAGTAATGCTTCCAAGATTCCTCGACTGTTCTTTGCTGTGGATGGGAAGAGATCAGTAGGTATATCTTGGATGACTGCTTCCAAGCGTTTAAGAGCCTGGCTGTTACTCACCAGAAATGGATATAGGGCATTACTTTCTGGCTGTATGGTGCCAGTGGATCCGGTACACTCCTGAGACTATCTATGGTCCTCACCCAATAGGGAATTATCATAGATTTTCTACGGTCACATTAGTTTGTTCACATTAATGTTCACGCTGATAATTTGAATGTTCAAAAAATGTATTTCTCTACCACACCACTGCTCTTTGCTCAAGAATATTGCATATTAGTAATATCTGGTTGATTTACGCTCTAAACGATTCATAGTGCTTTAGAAACATTGAGTAGGTTCCAACTCATTGCAGTCCTGTGTACAACAGAGTGAAACCCTGCGACATCCTCACAATCGTTATGTACTAGTCTGTTCTTGTCTGGAGCCCTGGTAGTAGAGCGATTAAACATTAGGCTGCGATCCTCGTGGTCAGCAGTTCGACACCACCAGCAGCTCCGTGGGAGAAAGACTGGGCTTTCTACTCCCATAAACACTTCCAGCCTCGAAACCCACAGGGCTCACAGTGAGTCAGCATTGACTCGATGGCAGTGAGTACATCCACTGTTGCAGCTACTGTGACTATCCATCTCCCTGACAGTCTCCTTCTTTTTCCCTGACCTTCTGCTTTGCCAAGAACGATGCCCTTTTACAGGGACTACTTTATCCTGGTAACACGTCCAAAGCACATGAGACGTAGTCTCACTTCCCCTCCCTTGTGAGGAGCATTCTGGCTGTACTTCTTCCAAGATAGATTTGTTTATTCTTTTGGCTGACCATGGTACTCTCAGCATTCTTTGTCAGTCTCATAATTCAAAAGCAGCAGTTCTTCTTCGGTTTTCCTTATTCGTTGTCCAACCGCCACAAGCATATGCGGCGATTGACAATATGATGGCTGGGGTCAGGCTCACTTTAATCTTCAAGCGCCATCTTTGCTCCTGAACACTTTAAAGAAGACTTGGGCAGCTTTGCCCAGGGAAATACGCTGTATGATTTCTTGACTTCTGTTTTCATGACCGTTGACTGGGATCCAAGCGAAATGGAGCCCTTGCCAACTTTGATCCTGTCTGTTTATTGTGATGTTGTCTATGGGTCCTGTTGTGAGGGTTTTCATTTTCTTTACATGGAGTTGCAATCCATACCGAAGGCTGTAGTCCTTGATCTTCATGAACAAGTGCATTAAAGACACGCAGTACCTTCTAAATTATTTTCTCATATATCACTTACTTTTTAGGAGATGAAACCTGAATAGCTTAGATGAGTGTCTAATATACATAATTAACATCAAGGCACCCCCCCCAATAGCAGTGAATAAAGGGCGGTTTTAGATGTCTGCTCGCCTTTATTTGCGGGGCCCTGGTGGTGTAGTAGCTACACAGTGGGTTGCTAATCACAAGGTCTGCAGTTCAAAACTACCCGCTACTCCGTGGGAGAAACGTGAAACTTTGTACTCCTGTGAAGGGTTACAGTCTCAGAAACCCACCGGGGGGATTCCTGCCCAAGGGTCATTCATAGGGTCACTGTGAATCAGAATCAGCTTGATGGCAGTGAGTCTAATGATCCCTGGTGGCACAGCAGTTAAGCACTCAGCCGCTAAGCAAACTCTGGGAGGGAGATGGGGCAGTCTGCTTCCCTGAAGATTTTCAGTTTTGGAAACCTGTAGGAGAGTTCTCCTCTGTCGTGCAGGGTGTGTAGCATCACTTGTGTTGGAATCAACTTGATGGCAATGGGTTTGGTTTGTTCATGTTGGTGGCAGAAATCGTCCACTGTTAACTCGGAGGTCAGCAGTGAGGCCAGAAAAAGACCTGGCTTTCGGCGTCCATACAGATTGCCTCCAAGAATATCCACAGGGCAGTCCTACACTGTCACGCAAGCCCTTTATGGATGGACATGGCCTTGATCAGAGCTAGCAGCAGCAACCTCCACCATCTGAATTTCTGTTTTACGACTGATAGTGAGCAGAACATCACTGCGCAGACTCCTTGATGTGAACAGCACCCCTTTCCTGTGACAGTGCTGCACAGTTCTACAGAGGAGGGTAAAGTGCAGAAAAACATCCCATGACAGTCAAGCAAGAATCCCATTAACTTGTTTTCTCTCTAGTGAGGCAGAGACCAAGGACAATGCGTTTGAAGTACCAGAGATGCAGAGGGAGGAGGGCACACAAATAATGGGTCGTTTCCCCATATTATTACGTTTGATGGCGCAAATATAAGTTGCCTCATTTGTCCTTAAGTAGAAATGTGAAAATTCTGCTGTTGGTTCCGTATCTTCATGACAGAGACTTTTTTCCGTTCCTTCCGATCCTGTCAATGATTTTAACCATGGGGTGGTTCTTTCCTGGGCCAAGCGGTGGGCTGCATGCATTCAGTGTTCTCTAGGTATGTGTGTTTAAAGCAGAGGTCAGCAAACTGCAAGCCACCCTCAGTGAGCGAGACCGGGACAGCCAGCAGCTTCTGTCTACGGGGACAATGTTTCCTCAAGGCCCAAGTCTGTGATCCTTGATACAGTTAGCAGGTTGAGTATGTGTGTTTTTCTCCACCACAGGACATTCCTGGATTGACCTTTGTGACAGAAGAGATTGCCTTGCCTCTTATGAAGGTAAGCCCTGAGTAAAGCAAACCAACTCACTGCCGCCTAGTCGACCCTATAGGGCAGGGTAGAACTGCCCTTGTGGGTTGCTGAGACGATAGCCCCTCATGTGAGTAGAAAGCCTCCTCTTTCTCCCAAGGAGTGGTTGGTGGAGTTGAACTGCTGACTTTGCAGTTGACAGCCCCCACACCCAGATACCTAGGCTTCTTTGTTTGCCTCCACACTCCACCTGAAGTTAAATTGTGCCTCTGAATTTTGTCATTTACAAAAGGGAATTCAGAGTGGGAGGTGGGAGTGGGCGGGCCAGGAGAATCAAGGGTTAAGTAAGGTTGGTTCTCCAGAGAATCCTTCCTAAGTGGGTGGGTAGTCCCTGGGTGAGGCCTGGGGTGGTGAAACAGTGGGAGTGCTTGCCTGCTCACTAAAAGGCTGCTTTGAGTCTGACCCAGAGGTGCCTCAGAAGAAAGGCCTGGTGATCTATGAAAAACAAACTGTTGGAAGCCCTGTGGCGCACAGTTGTTCTGCCACGCATGATTCAGTTTGGTTTTTGTCACCGAGTATGACATTACGGCCATTCTTAGGAACCCGCATTGAAGAGGGACGTTGTCTGAAGATGGGAGAAAATGACAGGGCTCAATTGAAACCACACAGACTTGAACTTCCCCCAGCACCTCCAGCCTGCTTCCACGGGAATTCCTGAACCTGGTCGCTGTTTTTACGGAAGCCTGCCTCTTCCCCCGA